AATATTCCTAATAGCGAAATGTCACGATTGTTAGGCAAATATAAAACAATTTTACTGTGTTTTTGTGTGATCAATATTCTCAGACGATGATTTACGGTTTCGACGCCGAACGTGCAGAAAGATTTAAGGAGTATATTCTTCAGTGCCTCCAGGAATTCGGCGTACCTGAGAGTAAGCACTAAAATCTGACACACAGAAGCACATAAAAACTTGAAAATTCATGAAATAAATATATGGGTAGGCAATCACAATACAACGTGAGCAAGAAAACCGAGTACCTGAGCTTAGTCGATAGCAACACGCCAGCACTCACAACAAACACTAATAAGCAATGCTACAATTTTCCTATTGCAGATGCTCTCTATACCGACACGTTCTTATGCGCAATGTTAAAGGACGGGCAGGTAGGTGTATTTGTAGCTAATATATATTCATCTTTATATAGCCTTAAGACACAATGTAATTAAGTTACAAGTACGTTATTGTTGTAAACATTCGTTTCTCTAGACATTAATGTAAAGCTGTCACAAAAACAAATTATAAATATAATAATACTGCATAATAACTGCACATCAGTGAAACATCATCAATACGTAATGTTTGCTGGCAATTTGTTTCTATTTCCTTGAATAATCAATACATAATAAAATAACAATACATAATTTCTTTGAATAATCAATACATAATAAAACAATAATATGTACAGTTACGAAATTCTAATAACCTAGTTACATTACGTATTAAGGTTATTCTAACGGCTACTGATCATAGAAGAAGTTCTGATTATAAAAGCCGTTTCGATAAACTCTTTACGAGTAGAAAAGGATATAATAGGAATGTAGAAACGAGCATTCTTAAGATATTACTTATGCTGCAGAAATTGCAATTAAATTAGAAGAGACAAAATACTGTTGGAAATTTTAGCCACATAATATAAAAAGAATTGAATAATCTTAAGTGAAATGTATATAAATATTACATTAAATACGCAACATATTAATATATTCTTAACATATGAATAATAAGAAAATAAGTTTAGCCATACATGAAAAGTTAACATTTCACTCAATAAACAACTAAAGGTTAACATTTTATTTGACCAGCCATACAAAGCAATCGATATTATCTGTTTCAGATTTTCAATAACGTGTTTATAAAGAATGCAACCATGCAATTTATTGAAGATGTTATTTTCGACGAAAGCTTAGTAAAACCAGCGAAAAAGACATTCAACATGTGCTACAATCGCGGTACACGATTCCAATAAAGATAACCAAAAATAAATTTAAAAATTTCATTTATAATTAATTTATTAATTAATAATTAATAACAAATAATTTTTGCACGTTCTCTGAAATATATTTCGTTTATTGCATCGGTTCAAAAGGGACGCCTCAGCCAGGAGTACGCAAAGGAAATAGCGTTTTGCATTTTGCAAATTATGACACTTTACGAAACACCACACTAAGTTTAAAAACATGTATTCAGATTTCTTCCATACGGACACAAAACGCATCCTTCAGGTTTTCTTTTCTGGTTTATCTGTATAACTATTTTCCTATATAATATTTGAACTTTCTGTTGAATTGTATGTACATGATAACGACTCAATAAAATATAATTATTATAAAGAAATATTCAACGAAACGATATGAATCTCTATCGACTAAGACAAATAAGAAGTTGAAATAAATTAAAATTGCGAAGTAATTTACTTACATTATTGATAAAAGAAATATCGCTCTTGCCTTTTTAAATAAACAAATCTAAGAAAAAGTAATGCACACTTTTTGGAACTTCATGTAATCTAATTATCATACATATTGGTATTAAAAGGTTCAATGAAGAATAATGATATCAATTAACAATTAAAAAACCTCAGTTTCTGTAAAAATATTTGATTATTATTATTATATATTATAATTATATATATTATAATTAATATTATATTGTCATATAATTACAAGGTACGTAATTATTATATATATTATATTATTATATATTAGAACATTATGGCATTATATTACATTATATTATTACATTATTATATTATTATTACTTCTCTGTATATACACACACATATACATAGAATGTAATGTTATTTCGGTAAATATATACATTTATATTTCATAGATATCCATTGCACATACAGCGCAATGCATTCGCACATACTTATGATATCCATTGTATGTCATTTGTATATCACTACATGTGGATACGATATGTCCCATCCACGAATACGTATATATAATGTACACACATTGGATATCAAAATGTTATCTAGGATAATATCATTATTCACTCTTACCGTTTCATTTCTAGGGTAATATCATTGTGTATTGTTTAAATATCATTTAACTTGTTTTTACTAAACCTAATATCTCTACTCAGATATTTGTCACTTCGCAACAGAACACGCTTATATATCAATTTGTTATATTAAATTAATTAAATTCAATTCAATTTTAATTTAATTAAATTTAATTTCAATTTAATTAAATCCAATTTTTCGTATTAATATGCAAATTATTTACGTTATATAAACTACATGAGCGGAAGAGAAGAAGTAAGGACACACAAAGTGTGTCTATATTATAATAATAAAAATTCATGTATAACTTTTTTCTATAATATCTTATCCTTGTTTTCACAACACTAGTGTTATATTGCCAATATTACGTAATTGCTCAGATTTATTATTTACAATGATGTGGCAATCTAACTCTTTTACGTAGTAAGAGAAAACTATCCGGAGCAATCCCCCCATCTTCCCTATCCTCGCCTTCCATGCCATCTTTATTATACTATTGATAGCAACCGTTATTAAAATAATTGACAAATTTCCTCAATTTATTAAACAATAGTTTTATTTTACACTTTCATATAATTCACATGTGAGACGCCACACAAGACGCAACCCACAATTAAAAGGACTAGGAAAAGCCTTATTGAGGGAGCATCTTACGCGCGTCGTTCTTATAATTCAGCAAGTGAGATGCCACACAAGACGCAACCCACAATTAAAAGGACTAGGAAAAGCCTTATTGAGGGAGCATCTTACGCGCGTCGTTCTTCTAAGAAGCGCGAGCCTCGCGACGCGCTTCCGAGAAGCGCGAGGCTCGCGACGCGTTTCCAAGAAACACGGCTGGGCAGCGGTAAGCGCAAGCCTCGTGACTAATTCATGGAAGCACGGACCTGCACCGAAATTCGGAAAACCGCGAACCACGTGATTTTAGGATAAAATTTAACTCACGGATATTTAACACTCTGACAGAAAAGGAGTATAAATAGAGGGCAAGGTGCCCAGGAATTTAATTCCCTCTTGACCTCGACAGAGGAAAGAACTCCAGAAAAGAGAACAAGCGACAATACAAGGAGCGAACACGGAGCTAACTCTCCTACTAGGAGTAGTTTTCCTGAACTCTGCCAGTGCACCGGCAATCCTGAAGCTGCAAGGAGACCGGCCTCAAAAGGAGGCCAACCAGGTACAACGGCCACGTCCAGGTACGAGACCAGCTGCTGGACCTATTTGGTTCAGACAGTGATGAGGAACGTACGGCGACTCCGGTATACCCAGCTGCTACTTCGCCATCCTCAGCCTGGTCGTCGCTCCCGGCCACACCGCCTACAAAGATTCCGAGGACGCCGTCCCCGAGGAAGCGACCTCGACCGCGGACGCCCTCTCCACTGAAGAGGTCTCTAGGGACAGCACCAGCAGACGAACCTACCACGGAGTCCCTTTTGCTTTGGACCCTCCATAGGCTTAACCTTGAAGCTGTAAGGCGCACGAGGCCGCCTATCGAACAATTGGCGACTTGGGATATCAGGGCAAGACGACCGCTCTCGCCCCGGTTCACGACGTCCCCATGGAGGCAGCCATCGCTCCGGATAGTTTTCTCTTCGGATTGCTCCGGATAGTTTTCTCTTACTACTACGCAAAAGAGTTAGATTGACATATCATTGTAAATAATAAATCGGGGCAATTATTATTTACGTAATATTGGCAATATAATACTAGTGTTGTGAAAACATGAATAAAATATTATAGAAAAAAGTTATACATGAATCTTTATCATTATAATATAGACACACTTTGTGTGTCCTTCTCCTCTCCCGCTCATGTAGTTTATATAACGTGAATAATTTGCATATTAATACGAAAAATTGAATTTAATTAAATTGAAATTAAATTTAATTAAATTAAAATTGAATTTAATTTAATTATTTTCGCCGCGACCACAACTTCGAACCTTTGACAAGGCAACTCAACCGAGCCTCACCCGGAGTGTAACGCCTAGGAAGCTAGTAAGGCCAGAACGAGGGGCCTGCTATCGCCGCTCGCCGAGAAGGGTAGCACGTCCTGAGATTTTCCAGGTCCACAGGCGCTCTCCTAAAAAGCAGACTCGACCGAGGTTGATCATCTTCCAAGAGCCGCCTACATGGGGGAAACGACGATGATGCAGCCACACAATTCACACACTGACACACTCACACATATGTAACATAATAAACATGGGCATTACTCTTCGATCTTAGTTCATCATTGCGTATACCTATTCCCTCCTGCGAGTGCCGATTATAATAAGACTAAGATCCTGCGAACGCGAAGTAACGCAACTACATACATAAGTAAACAACAAAATTTGATTTTAAATAAACTAAAAATTTTAAATAAACCAATTTTTTAAATAAACTAAAATTTTTCTGATTATTTTAATAAACAAATTATTTTAATAAACAAATAAAAATTTTAAATTTTAAACTTACAGGCTTTAATACTTTAATTTGATAACAGCAGTAAAATTTGTTTCAATAAAATGTCTTTCGTTCAAGCAGTCCAGATAATTTTAGTCTTATGTCCTTCGTTATAAATAGATTTACAATTGCAAATTTATATTTGTTACGAGGAACTCTTACACTGTTGTCCTAGTTAAAACGCAAGCAAAGAAACCACTCTCAATACCTCCCACTTATAATGTCCTACTACATTTACATCTCTCAACTGTCTATAAATGCAGGATAATTTCTGCGCCATTTAGTTTACGAGGAAAGTTTCTCACATCTGTGGTTTCCATAAAAATATACGAAGTATTCAGAATGAAGACATTGGCAATTATTGTAGCTGTATTCGCTATCATAGTAAGTACAAAATAACAAATAATGATCTTCGTAAACTCGTAAAGTACTCGCAATATCTCAATGTTATTAATAATAATATTTTTTCTGTTTTTTTTTTTTATTTTTAACGGGCTTGGCTCACATTTCATTAGGATAATCTTCCACTTATTTTGCACATAATTTAAGCATTCCAAACTATAATACTCAAAGGGTAAGACAATAGTTGTACCGTTAATATTATATCTTACCGTACAAGATTATTTAAAAACGCTTATTTCTAAATTGTTTAAATTTATTTTAAAGACATTATATTTAACGCTACATCTTCTTTTTGTTTGTAATATTTTTTCTATAAAACAAATCTGTAAATTGTGAAGGTAAGCAGTAACAAGTCATTTTACCAAAGTATAAACTTATTTCAGGAAAAACAAAATTAAAGTTTATATTTCAATAAGAACCATTTTCTAACAATTCCATCTATAATTTTATTTGAAACATAATATAACACTTTTATATGAAATTTGTAAATAAAGAATCTGCTTCAGTTAAAAAATTATAGATACTGCGATTACACCCTATTATTTAGGTAAAATGACATAATGTTAATACGTCAAAATGTGATTGATCCTTTAGACGATGGTTTACGGTTTCAACCCCGAACGATTTCAAAAATTAGTGGATAACACGGCAAAGTGCAGAAAGGATTTGGGCGAGTCATCGTGTAAGTATCAAAATTTAAAATATCCAAAGAAATATAACATATAAAATGAAATGAAAGTTAATGAAAGTTAATTAATGTTTGTAACCTTTCGATAATGTTTATCTCCATATTTGTTGTAAAGGTAATAATTTCTGAATAATATTCAACACCATTTATTTAATGGTCCATCTGTCATATACCATCCATTTAATAACTCTTTATATTTATTTGGAAGCTAATCAACGGTTTGAGATTTCTGAAAGAGAGCGAGCTATCACAGCGTTATTGATAACTTCTAATAGAAACAGAAAGAACGTTACTGTGCACAACTGACGAGCGTTAATTATAGCATTCAAAGAAAATCCGATTTATCTGTTACGTTATTATATCAACATTTTGAGTGTTACCACTAGAGTTGAGAAGTAACGCGTTACTTGAAACGCTATTACCGTTATCGTTATATTTTTTCAATAAAGATCGTAACATTTTCTCTTTGTAACGGTAACGGTAACGAATTCAACTGTTACTTTTATCGTTAGTGTAATTACTTCTGGTCCATAGATGATGCTCTGGTCGTGCGCTAATAGCGTACCTTAAATATTCTTGATTAGATAGCAATATCTTGATATTCATTAGTAATTTCGAACTAAAAGACAATACGTGGTTTTATCTTATTCTTTATCTAGAAATGATTACAAAGACGGATTTGGTAATTTAGCTGTTAGAAACTTTTAATAAATTTAATAATAAATATATTTTGTGTAAAGAGAGAGAGAGAGAAAGAGAGAAAGAGAGAAAGAGAGAGAAAGAGAGTTCACTTTCATAAAAAACCATATAACTGTGTGTGTATTACATTAATCACACCTATTATTAAATTTATTAAAAATTTTTAAAAACTCCAAATATTGCAAATCAGACTCTGTATTATAGATAATTTTTGTATAAAGAGAATAATAACAGATAAGAAAATGGGAGCTTATTAAGAAATATCAGTTCTTTGAGGAAGAATTGTTGCAATTTTAAAAAATTTGTTTTTTTTAATGAAGTAATTACTCTAAAAATTATAATTTGAGCTTAAAAATAATAATATTATTTTAAAATCAATTACATATTTTATTTTAGTATTATGAAAAAGTAACAAAGAAATAATCGTTACTTACTTAGTAACGATAAAGGTAATGAGTTACTATCCAAAATTAGTAACGAGCAATGGTAACGAGTTATTTTTTATAAAAAGTAACGGTAACAGTAACACGTAACTTTTTTTAAGTAACCTTCCCATTTCTGGTTACAGCTCAGCCGCTCACCAGCTCAACCATTATGCAGCTCAGTGCCAAAGCGCTCCTTTGCGGGTTATCTAAGGATGGCCAGGTACGTATATTCATATCTAATGTAGAATAAACAGCGAAATAATCTTAACATATAGTATGATTAGGTTATCAATATTTTATAACTGCACAATTTCGTTTCTGTGCCTTAACAACAAGTCGTCACAGACAAATTTTTGATTCCATCGAATCGCTTCTTTGAATACTCGGTAAAAAATAAGTCAACAATATGTATAGTTAAAAAATTCATATAATCTATCTAATTTATATGTTAAGGGTATTTCGCTTGGTTAGAAAGAAAGGGAAAAAGTATATGTAGGATATTTTGAAATAAAATGTTTGAATCGTTCCCATGTGCTTTATAGAGATAAGTAGAGATAAGAAAGACAAAATATAAATACATACAAATATAAATACATACAAAATACGTTAATTCAGAAAAAGTTACGATTCTCGCATTAAAAGTTATGTTTCGTAAATTGCATTGGAGGTCACAATTATCTAGCGACAATACTGCTGAAACATTTAGTCATGTAATAATAGATATATAAAATAATTTGTATGAAATTAGAACAATATTTATTTTAAAAAGTATTTCCTCCTTTACACACACATGCTAATATTTTATAAATAAGAAATATAAAAAAGATTCTCAGCGATATATAGAGAAAGGTTCTATTTTATATATATAATGATATATATAAAATAATTACTACTATCTATTTTAGATAATTAATAAGGACGGCCTGTTCTGGGTAGAGAATTCTTCCCAAGCACTTCAGGATTTTCTTTCCGACCCGGCCAAAATAGAACAGGCAAAGAAGATATTCAAAGAATGCTACGACAAAAGTAATGAATTTTATTATCGTCTTCAAAAATAATGTTAGCATTTGTAATTAAATTGCTTTTTAATTGTAGATATGCAAGGCGAAGGTACTAACCAGGAAAAGACGGTGAAAATAACCGAATGCACATTGCCGATTGTGGTTCTCTCGGAAATGTATAAAAACAACTAACTGATTTTTCCCTGAATATAATGTACACTTTATATTATTTCCTGAATTCTTTGCTATAATCTTATCTGTAGATTATTTAGTCTTCACTGGAGTTGGAAATGTTTGTAATAATAGTTCAATAAAATAAGATTACAGTAAAAAAAAAACATTTGGTGGATCTAAGTAAACACCTATCAAGACAGACAATGATTGTGTGCAAACATATTACAAAATGTGCTTCCCATCAAGTCGTCTCAAAATAGCTCGCACCAATTCCGGAAGCCTCCATAACCTGCAGAATGGATCCCTGCACGCATCGGCATCTTGCGGCTCGATGGAGTCAGACTCGTCGAGAAGCATCTCTTGTCGTCCCGGACGGACCGTATCTGACCGAGTTAAAATGTCCAACAATCCGTCTAGCTTTCCCTCTAAAGAAGCTGCGGCTTGACAGTCTGACGAGCGAGAACGACTCGTAGAAGGCTCTCGAAACCTCACACCAAAATCTTCGTGCGAACGCGCGTGTGAGCGTTTTGATCTCGAAGATCCATACTCACAGTTGTCTTTGCAAGAACGTCCACGAGAACACTCCCGAGAACGTTCTCTAGATTTTAAATGAGAATGTCTACTCATTTTTCTCGAAAAATGAACAGCACACATAGGCACGATGTTGTCGATCAGGGCAACAAGCGACATAATGAATCTTCAGCGCATCTACGCTACGCACACACGGCAATGTGTTCTAGGAATTAAGTTGCGAAGTATTCGCTATAATGAATTTCTAAGGAATATTTTAAGACAAACTTACTGTGGTTAATTCTTCAAGAATTCTTCGGGTATTTATTTTTCTAATTCTATATCTATTCTTTAAAATGAATTCTCTAGGAACTTCTATTCATCTCTATGTTATCTGGGTGTCTTTAAAATAAATTTAAGCAATTTAGAAATAAGCGTTTTTAAATAATCTTGTTCGGAAAATATAATATTAACGGTACAACTATTGTCTTACCCTTTAAGTATTATAGTTTGGAATGCTTAAATTTTGTGCAAAATCAGCGGAAGACTACACTAATAAAATGTGAGCCAAGGCCGTTAAAAAAATTAAGAAAACAGAAAATAATAATATTATTATTAATAATACCGAGATATTGCGAGTATTTTACGAGTTTACGAAGATCATTATTTGTTATTTTGTACTTACTATAATAACTAATACATATACAACAATCGCCAATGTCTTCATTCTGAATACTTCGTATATCTGCACGGAAATAATAGATGTGAGAAGTTTTCCTCGTAAACTAAGTTGCGCAGAAATCATCCTAACGCTACCATAGTTACGAGTTTTTAACGCGAGCTTTAAAAATGCTTGTTGAAAAGGAGTAGCATGAGACATGACTACATTTTCTACTCGGACGAATGCAGAGCATAATAATTGACATATAACATCGGTAAAAAATTACCGACCATCGGTAATATCGGTATGCCTTCCCCCATTACCGACCACTGGTAATGTCGGTATGCCCCCTGCGAGACGTCATACCTCCGCCCGCGGTGCTCCCTCCCCTCAAGTCCTCGGAGGACCTCTCTCTGGGTTAGAACCCGCCTATACCTACTGTAATAGCAGTAAAATCTCTTTCAATAAAATGTCTTTCGTTCAAACAGTCCAGATCATTTTAGCCTTATGTCCTTCGTTATAAACAGATTTACAATTGCAAATTTATACTTGTTACGAGGAACTCTTATACTGTTAAACTGATGTCCTAGTTAAAACGCAAGCAAAAATATCACACCCAACACCTCCCCACCTTTTAATATCCTACTACATTTACATCTCTCAACTGTCTATAAATACAGGATAATTTCTACGCAACTTAGTTTACGAGGAAAACTCCTCACATCTATTATTTCCGTACGGATATACGCAGTATTCAGAATGAAGTCATTGGCGATTATTGTATGTGTACTAGTTATTATAGTAAGTACAAAATGACAAATAATGATCTTCGTAAATTCGTAAAATACTCACAGCACCTCGGTGTTATTAATAATAATATTATTATTTTCTGTTTTTTTATTTTTTTAACGGCCTTGGTCCACATTTTATTAGTATAGTCTTCCGCTGATTTCGCACATAATTTAAGCATTCCAAACTATAATACTTAAAGGGTAAGACAATAGTTGTACCGTTAATATTACATCTTACCGAACAAGATTATTTAAAAACGCTTATTTCTAAATTGCTTAAATTTATTTTAAAGACACCCAGATAACATAGAAATGAACAGAAGTTCGTAGGGAATTCATTTTAAAGAATAGATATAGAATTAGAAAAATGAATACCCAAAGAATTCTTGAAGAATTAACCACATTAAGTTCGTCTTGAAATATTTATTAGGACTTCATTATAGCGAATACTTCGCAACTTAATTCCTAGAATACTTTGAGAATTCATGAGGAATTAGGGCTAAGGCAGAGAACGATACGTAAGCATCGTAATCGTAGACGTAAAGTAAGGCAGAGAAAAACGTAAGCGTAAGGCTTATAGCCTTTCATGATTTACATTTACGTTTTCCTCTGCTTTCTTTTACCTCTTATTCTTTATAAGAGCTTTATTTTAGCTCTTATTTCAGGAAAAACAAAATTAAAGTTTATATTTAAATAAGAACCGTTTTCTAACAATTCCATCTATAATTTTCTTTGAGACATAATATAATATGAAATTTGTAAATAAATAATCTGTTTCAGTTAAGAAATTATAGATACTGCGATTACACCCTATTATTTATGCAAAATGACACAATGTTAATACGTCAAAATGTGATTGATCCTTTAGACGATGGTTTACTGTTTCAACCCCGTGCGATTAAAAAAATTAGACGATAACATGGCAAAGTGCGGCCTGGATTCGATCGAATCATCGCGTAAGTATTAAAATTTAAAATATTCAAAAAAATATAACATAAAAAATGAAATGAAAGTTAATGAAAGTTAATTAATGTTTGCCACCTTTTCGATAATGTTTACCTTCATATATGTTGTAAAGGTAATGATTTCTGAACAATATTCAACACTTATTATTTAGTGGTCCATCTGTCATATATCATTCTGCAAATCCATTTAATAAGTCTTTATATTTATTTGGAAGCTAATCAACAGTTTGAGATTTCTGAAAGAGAGCGAGCTATCACAGCGTTATTGATAACTTCTAATAGAAACAGAAAGAACGTTATTGTGCACAACTGACGAGTATTAATTATAGCATCCAAAGAAAATCCGACTTATCTGTAACGTTATTACATCAGCATTTTGAGTATTATCGGTAGAGTTGAGAAGTAACGCGTTACTGGTAACGCGATTATCGTTATAGTTATATTTTTTCAATATAGATAGTTACTTTTTTCTCTTTGTAATGGTAACGGTAACGAATTTAACTGTTACTTTTATCGTTACTTTAATTACTTCTAATTCATAGATGATACCATAAATGCTTTGTCGTGCGCTAATAGCGTACATTAAATATTCTTGATTCGATAGCAATATCTTGATATTCGTCAGTAATGTTGAACTAAAAGACAGTACGTGGTTTTATTTTATTCTTTATCTAGAAATGATTACAAATACGGATTTTGTAATTTAGCTGTTAGAAACTTTTAATAAATTTAATAATAAGTATATTTTGTGTAGAGAGAGAGAGAGAGAGAGAGAGAGAGAGAGAGAGAGAGAGAGAGAGAGAGAGAAAGAGAGTTCGATTTCGTAAGATATCATATAACTGTTTATACTACATTAATCACATCTATTATTAAATTTATTAAAAATTTTTAAAAATCCCAAATATTGCAAAATCTGGTTCTATACTGAAGATAATTTATTTATGTTGAGGATAATAACAGATAAGAAGATGGAATTAAGCTTATTAAGAAATATTAGTTTTTTGAGGCAAAATTATTGCAATTCTGAAAATCTTTTTTTTTTAATGAAGTGATTATTCTAAAAATTATAATTTAAGCTTAAAAATAATAATATCATTTTAAAATCAATTACATATTTTATTTTAATACTATGAAAAAGTAAAGAAGAAGTAATCGTTACTTACTTAGTAACGATAAAGATAATGAGTTATTTTCCAAAATTAGTAACAAGCAACGGTAACGAGTTATTTTTTATAAAAAATAACGGTAACAGTAACACGTAACTTTTTTTAAATAACCTTCCCTCTGGTTACAGCTCAGCCGCTCAGCAACTCAGCCACTGTGCAGCTCAATGGCAAAACGCTCCTTTGCGGGTTAACTAAGGATGACCAGGTACATATATTCATATCTATTGTACGATAAACAGCGAAATAAACTTAACATATAGTATAATTAGGTTACCAATATTTTATAACTGTATAATTTTGTTACAATTCTCGCATTAAAAATTATGTTTCATAAATTGCATTGGAGGTCACAATTATTTAGCGACAATACTGCTGAAAAATTTAGTCATGTAATAATAGATACGTAAAATAATTTGTATGAAATTACAACAATACCTATTTTAAAACGTATTTCCTTCTTCACACACACATACTAATATTTTATAAATAAGAAATATAAAAAAAATTCTCAGCGATATATAGGAAAAATTTTATTTTACATATATTATGATATATATATAAAATAATTACTACAATTTTATTTTAGATAATTGATAAGGACGGCCTGTTCTCGGTAGAAAAATCTTTCCAAGCAATTAAAGATATTGTTTCCGACCCGGCCAAAGTGGAACAGGGACAGAAGATATTCAAAGAATGCTACGACAAAAGTAATGAATTTCATTATCGTCTTCAAAAATAATGTTAACATTTGTAATTAAATTGTTTTTTAATTGTAGATATGCAAGGCGAAGGTACTAACCAGGAAAAGACGGCAAAAATAGCCGAGTGCACATTGCCGATTATGGCTCTCACGAAGATATAATAAAAACAAATGACTGATTTTTCCTGAATATAATGTAGTATTTCTTATAGTATTTCCTGAATTCTTTGCTATAATCTTATCTGTAGATCATTTAATCTTCTCTGAGTTAAGAATGTTTGTAATAAAATGGCATTACAGTAAAAAAAACATTTGGTGAAACTAAATGAACACCTATCAAGACAGACAACAATTGTATGCAAACATATTACAAAATGTCCTTGCCATCAAGTCGTCTCAAAATAGCTCAAAAAAATTATCTCTTTACAATTTGAAATTCTCAAAAGCCACTTGAAAAAGTTAATCGTAAAATGATTTGAGAAATTACTTTTTCGTAGTTAAAAGCATCAAAAACCACTTAAAAAAGGATTGGTCAAAATAAAAATATTATTTTCTAAACACATGCCATATTTTCCTTATTCATAATATTGAAAGGAATTTATTCAAACATAATTTCATTCTTAATCAAATCTTACGCTAATTTGCCAATCTTACTTGATGTATGCGAGATATTCTTTTAATCGACACCCATTATTTATCTTCTTATAACGTTATTTCCTAATTAAAAGGTAAGTCCGAAAATCTTAAAATTATTTAGAGCATGATGGTGTGTGTACTCCCGAACATTTGTATAAAAGGTTTTTGTAAAACAGGGACAGAAGATTGTCAAAGATTGCTTCAAGAAATGTAATAAATTTTATTATCGTCTTCAAAAATAATGTTAGCATTTGCAATCAAATTGTCTTTTAATTGTAGATATGCAAGGCGGAGGTAGTAACTAGGAGAAGACGGCAAAAATAGCCGAGTGCACATTGTCGGTTGTGGCTCTCCACGGAGACGTATAATAAAAGCAAATAACTGATTTTTCCCTGAATATAATGTACACTTTATATTATTTTTTTAGTTTTTTGCTATAATCTTATCTGTAAATTATTTAATCTTCTCTAAGTTGGGAATGTTCGTATAATAACGGTTCAATAAAATGAGATTTCTCTAAAGAAACATTGAGTGAGATTAATTAAATATCTATCTACGAAGACAGACAACGATTGTCTAAACAAACATGCAGCAATATGTTTTTGTCTTCAAATCGTCTGAAAATAACTCAAAAAATTATTTCTTCATAGTCTAAAATTCTCAACAAACATTAGAAAAGATTAATCGCAATATAATTTAAAAAATTATTTTTTTGAAAATACTCAAAAACAACTTAAAAAAAGATTGGAAATAATGTTCCAATATTTACTAAATACATATAATATTTTCGTTATTCATGATATTAAAAGAAATTTATTCAAACACAATTTCATTATTAATCAAATCTTGCGCTAATTTGTCAATCTTCCTTGATTCCTGTAGAATATTCTTTTAATCGATGCCCACTACTTACGTTATTATAACGTATTATTTTCTAATTAAAAAGCAAGTTAACAAATCTTAAAAGTATGTTGAGCATGACGATGTGTGTACTCCTGAAATTATGCAAAAACGTCGATATAGCGCAAGAAATATGCACTAATAATAGAAAGAATTGTATAAAATATATTTCATAAATAACATAAATTGAATAAATGTAACGTAGAAATTACATTTGTGTTATATCGCTTTATAGTGTATCATTATTTATTACTTTTTACAGTAATTATAAACATTAATTAACTATAAATTATATATATTAATCAACGTATAAATTATATATATAAATTATATAAATAAAAATATAAATTATATATATTAATCAACATATCTAGATAATATTGGCAAACACTATATCGAATAAAAATTAGCAAAATAGACAAAAACCTTGTTTTGATCGTCATTATACTGACTAATTGAATGTGAAATAATAGTAGTTATTACACAAACTTCAGCTAAACCTTGTAGTTTTTTGTATGAGCAAACATTTGACTCCGCTTGACTTATATTTCTGCCCAGGTTTTCGTGTTGAAGTATGTCAAAATTATAAAATAACATGTATCATGAACAAGACTTCGTTCCCAAAATTTGCATAATTTCTGACAGCAAACGTAGCGACTTGTGAAATATTATTTATAATCTCTCTATGAAAAGTAAACACCGTGCGCGTTAGCACCGTGTGCGAGGCTGTAGAGAAGTTAGAGACTATTGGGAATATTTCTCAGGAGTGAATGATACTTCTTGCAGTTAAATTAAAGAAGACTTAGAAAAAGGAAAAGAAGAGAGACAATCGAATGACAGTTTGATCATTGTAAAAAATGTCAAAAGTATTTATTGCTGTTAGATAGTAAAAAAATTACCTAAGTAGAGACGGCTGTTGTTGAAGCTAGAAACTGAGATGAATAGAGGTTGAGATGAATGTTCGGCCTCCATCGCTTTATAAACAGTTGATCCTAGTATCGTGTATCCACTGAGTGACTTTATTAGGTTGCAACTGAACTACGAAAAATAATGAATTTATTTAAGGCAGAATATGCGACAAAATTGAAGAAAAAGAGAACTGGAGCTAAGTGCCTAAACTGAAGCTGAGTGTATTTCTTGAGCATCCAGAAAGTGAAATAGAAAAGTAGTTCTTAAACGTACGGAGTATGAAATAGAAGTAATCTTTCAGAATTTCTAGGTGAAGCAACAATGTTCGGAGGATTAGGAGTTTCGAAGAATAAACAGTTACAGGATTCGTTAGGAATAATGAGGCTGGAATGAGGATTGTGACCAGTGACGTATGATATGTGAAAAGAATAGAGAAAAGTTTGAGGATTTCTCTTTAAATAGATTTTACGTGAACTCTCTAATTTGAAATTATTATTCTAATAATTTCTGCTTTATCGTATAAGATTTTGAAGGTTACATCCAACAAACAATTCTTTCCGCTTGTTCCGACGAGATTAAAGGGAAATTATTTTATTTCGTCTATCGAGGCAGAATACGCATTTGGAGTTATTTACTTTATGACATTTTCTAATAATGATATTTTATGTAATGATATTTTCTATTGTGGCTATTTTTTCTGTTTTGCCAAATGTATCTTCTTCTTATCGTGAAATTTCAATTTTATACTAAGACATTGAAGTTAATAAAATTATGCAAAGTCCACACAGGACGTAACAGTATTATCTTATTACGTCTTAAACAATGTTTTTGTTAAGTGCGTTCATTAAATGAATATTTCTGTAGCGAGTCACTGTCTCGACTACACATGTGACATTGTTAGTACACTTGAATAAACGTATTACACATGGATACGATAAATATTTATTTTTATTTTACATATATAATGTAGGAAGGATCATCAGTGTATACTTTTTGAATGTATACGTCAGAGAACTACATTCTATTTGTGAAATTTCTTTTGTCAATAATTTTTTTTTTTAATAAATGAAGACATCTGAAACCTTCTGAAAGTTATTTAGGAGGACGTCTGTCAATATAAAGGTCATCAGAGTCGTCCGTTAAAACTAGAGTCACTCTAATCAAAATTTGGCCACAACGCGCGGTTTCATCAAAATTCTGCGAAAAAGAGAGACATATTTTCAATCTCTTTCTATTTTTTCTTAATCTAACCTAACCTACTACCATAGCGTGTAGTAAATACCATGGCATACTGTGCTTGGATATTGTGTGGGATTTGACGAAACATAGACCAATTAAGGCGGACCAATTAAAAGTTAATTCCTTATGGCTAAACTCTGATTAGAGTAACTCTAATTAAAACAAATAATTAGCTCAAACACTCCTGACAGCCTCATGTGATGACTAATCAAAGATATTACAAGGAAATTTTCTTCATAAAAGTAGAAATGTCCGTCCTACCGTTTCCAATATACTTATTAATTATTTCCTTAATAATTATTGTAAATTTACAAAATAGTACTTGACTTTCTTATATAATTGGATCCATTCTACATGCATATAAATGTTATATTATGAATTGTCAAGCATCTTGTATAAAGCTCGTTTATAAATAACCACCGTCTTTGTCGACTCAACTCTTTCTCTCTTGAAAATGTGAAATAATAATTGTAGTTTGTTACTTCATACAAAACGCAAACTGTGACCGCATTTGTAGATTCTTTAAAACGAAATAATTTTGATGTATATATCTTAATAAAATTAATTAATTTATATATTAGACAGTGACTTACATGGTGTTAACTATGAAGCGCTGCAAAAGTTTAAGAACCTTTATGCGGAATGCGCTGTAAGAAAAGATGGGTGTGCCTAGTAAATACAAAAATTGCAATTGCAAGGTTTAAGAGGAAATTTCCTTTAACTGTGTAAAGTTTTATTTGATTTCGCCATACATTTCCATCAGGCATTTCTATTCGTTCCTACTATTCTTTTCTAAATTTATTTTTCATTTCCCAATTTTATCACCTAATATAAAACATACCAAAGTGTTCATTAAATAAGATTTTGTAGGAAGCTATTTTTCTGGCTACACGTGTCACGTTCTCTGACCCACTTGGATAAATACTTGTTAAATACACAAGATAATATGAATATTTCATTATCAATACGCACACATACATCATGTTGAAATATACAACACATCACAAATATACACATATCACGTACAATTCTCTCTCCCCCTCCTTCTTTCCCTCTCTCTCCCTCCTTCTCTCTCTCTCTCTCTCTCTCTCTCTCTCTCTCTCTCTCTCTCTCTCTCTTTCCTCTCTCTCTCTCTCTCTCTCTCTCTCTTTCCTCTCTCTCTCTCTCTCTCTCTCTTTCTCTCGCTCGCGACAGAAGAGTATCAATGAAGAGATCGAGAAAGCGCCGGCCAAAGTATAGATTTCACATTCCACGTGTCGAGCGCCTCCTTCGTGAAACGGAGCCTCCACGCTAAAAATTATCGCGCGTGCTGTATCAAGAAAAGTAAAAGAAAGAGAAGAATATACATGCGTTTTTGTACATACAGTGAGACACGTTAACGCCTAACGAACCTTCGCGGTAGTGATACTTGTAATTAAAATCAGGCGTTACGTGATGACAATAGTATTGTTATCTTTATATGTTTAACTGATACGACACATGGAGTTAATGTGAAATATGTGAGTCACGTATGTAACGTGTAGGTATGCATATATATATGCATGTTCATCGTATTGCAACGAGAGTCGCATATTACCTGCTTCTCTTTTAGAGAACCAGAAGCAGCATGACGACATTCATAATTCAACAGAGAATTTCGTTTCTCGCGGTTGAATGAAGGCAAATTTCTATGTGCGCACGCGCGTTGGGAATGCTTATAATAAAATTCAGAAATTAATTTAACTTTGTTGAGCAATTTTTCCTTATCTACCAGCTGTTTAATACGTTCGATTCTGTTTGTTCGATTCTGAATGAAAAATTCTCAGTAAGCTATATAGTGAAGAGATTACACAGTAATCATGTTAATAATCTGCAAACAATTACGTCATATTAATTCCGCGAACACTGTGAATAGTGATAGTGACTGATGTATTCATGAATAATTTCGAACAACACGCAATTAAAATCCACTTTGGACGACTTATGAACGCCTGTCCTTGCACAAAAGTCCTCCACCATTTTGCAAGTAACTATGCAGATTTTTTGTTATTGGTGAAAGAACATTGATGCATTATTGCGATCCGATAATCTTCTTTTTCAATTAATAACTCAAAGAGAGATCTACGT